GCAAAGAGAAAATAAAAAGATTTATACTATATCTTTGCTCCTGGATGAGAGCTCTGTGTGTATCCTGACAGGACTCCTAAGGCTTAAATCTCTACCAGTCAGACACAGGCACCGTCAGGAGGTGTGTGGATGTGCTGGGGAGGCCCCACAGTGGTCAGCCCTTCTCCTGCTGCCATGGCCCCCCTCACTTCCCCGCTGCTGGTGGGAGGGAGCTGTCTGCCAGCTGTGGCTGGAGGGACTGGGGTTTCTCCTTTGTTTTCTTCATATCTCTTTAATGATAACCTGCTGATTTTGTCAGCTGCATTTTCCTCCTGCTTGAATTATTCCTGCTGTAAACTGGAAAACTGGCTCTGAAAATGTTCAGGGTTTAATTTTTGTCTTTCATGTTTTGAGCATCACTTAGGTAGCTGTTTCTCCTGGTGGTTCTGACTTGTGGCTCCTCTGGATCATGCACCTACCTCTGCTTCACAGGGCAAACTCACCCTTCAGAGACGTCCAGATACTCTCTGAGTCTTGCCAGTATGAATAGTCTGTCCAATGCTTGTGATCTCGGGTAACTCATCTAGTTAGTTTTGTTTACTCCTAATACTCAAGTACTGGAGATGAGTGTCACCAGGAGCTACTAAAAGCATTTCATAGAATCATAGAATGGTTTGGGTAGAAAAGGGCCTCCAGTTCCAACCCCCTGCCATGGGCAGGGACACCTTGCACCTGGGATAACTCTCTCACTAGACCTAAGTCTTGAAAATGTTTGCCACTGCATTCCTGTCTTCTCTTCAGTCCTGTAAGAGCTTAATGCTTCAGCCAGTTAAAAGCACTTCTTGGTCTCATGTGTGCTAACAGTCCTTAACCACAAACATGCTTTAGCCATACAAGCTAAAATATGCATGCGCTGGCTTACTGCTATATGGGTACCCTTCCCTTTAGATGTACCTAGCCAGCCAGGGAAGGTTCCCTAAAACAGATCTTGATGAGGAAACAAAAATATAGAACATTTTCATGAAGAGGATAAGTAACTGTCCTAGTTAATGACCTCTCTGAGAAGCTTATCAAGCAGATACTGAATAGTCTTTGAACTTGCCCTTAACACAGGCATTGATACTGGGCTCATCAGTGCTGTAGAATTACAGTATTCTTCAGGGAATTGTTTATCACTGTGATCCTCAAAAATAGGATGGCTGGAATGGTTAGAGGCAAATACCAGCCATTTTGTCCTGGCATGGGCTGAGTTTTCAAACACTTCTGAGATGATGAAAGCTATATTCTGTTTTGCTTTATGGTTGTTATCCTGCCTGCTATTATCTTTAAGCATTTGCGAAATGATATTGCATTTAGATGGACTAACTCAGGGTTTTTTTTGAGCAAAATAAAGAGAATTCCCTACATTTTATTCTGAGTTTTTTTCTTTTTTTTATTTCCTCCCAGTATTACCTCCCAGATTGCATGGGTGAGGTACATCCAAACTGATGTACCTCATAGCTTGGTTTCTAATGTACCACCTCGGGGCCTCTTTGGCTCTAGGCTTTTGTGAGTCCTTTACTGAAGTGATGGTTTCAATAGACAGTGTGTTGGAGTCTGAGCTAGATTTTTTAGAACCCAGCAACAACTTTATATTCTGTCTGTAAGTGAACTGTAGTAGGAAGAATATTTCACTCTAATAAATTGCCTTTCGTTACTCTGATAAATTGGTTTTGTTTTTAAAGAATTTCATAAGTTAATTCACTGATCACTGAATCCTTCCACATCTGGAGAGGAGCCCGGCTGCCAGATGATTTGTTGAATTCAAAACATTGGCACTCTTAAAGTTCACACTTACATGTCAGAGACACATTGTTGCTGTACACATTGCGGCTAGACTGTTCCAATATGAAACTGGACGGAAAGGGAGAAAATAATTAAAAGAGGTGGTATCAGAGAAGCAGTAACTTCTCTGAAAAATGGAGAATTTTATGTTCTACCTTTTCCTGTGTGATTAGTCATTTGGAGAACAGCTGTTCACCATGGACTGGGCAGTGCTCCAGCTGTGTGACATTATTGACATGCCCTGATCATCACCCATTTCTGCCTACACTTTCAGCCTACATGCTTCAAACATTCATTTCAACAGCTTTTGGGTTGACAGGAGGCTTGAGCTTGTGTGAAAGCGAGATGAGTGTACTTCTGTAAGAAACAGGACTTCTCATTTCATGTGTCCTCATTGCAGTTTTCTTCTTTCAGTGGGATTTCTGTTCAGTTAGCAAAGCCAATGAGGAGCTCCCTCAACTTGGGGAATCAAGTTGCAATGTGGAGGTTTTTTTTATTTAGCAGTCCTAGGTTAAATAATCTTTGCCAGCTAAAATAAGACCCATATCTTTTTTTCAAAAAGGTGGGTTTCTAAGTGCTTGAGTTCTGCTGAGCGACCAAAGGAGAGATTCCACAGATAATCTTAACATTTCAGTGTGGTCTCATGAAATTATATCTGCAACTCTTTCCCCCTCCAAAGGGTCAGTACATCATTGCGTCCTAGCTGACGGGTTTTTGGAAGGCTTACAAAAATAACTCTGTTACAGTCACTGAAACGTGACTGACTCACTTGGAAATAAAACCTGTGCTAGGGAACCATAGGAAACAGATGAGCTATGGTGTCACAGATTTCGGATACGCTTTTTAGTCTCTCTTTGCACTTCAAAAGCATTATGTAATTTTCAGAATGAATCAATGAGTTACGCATATATGGAGAAAGCTAAACCAGAAAGGTTAGTTGCTTGAGAGCAAAACTGAAAAAAGCAATAATCCTTTTCTCCTTAGCCCCACAGTAGATACATTTGATGGTGTTATGGCTTGTTCCCGTCCTTCTTGTTCCAAGGGAGGTGTATGTCTCTCAGTCTACAATGGCTGTACTTCCACAGCCATGAGTGGGGCTGGCTCCCCTTTGAGCAGGGGTGCTGTGGTCAGAGTCTTAATGAGCCCTAGGGACCTCAAACCCCTGCACAGGAGAATCAAATTACGGTCTTGCAGGGGAAAATGGTGATAAATATTTCACTCCAGCAGTTGTTTGTGCTTTCAGTGCTCCTCAAAAAATAAGGATTAATAAAACAGCAGAAGACTGGCATATTTAGGTCTTGGTTTGCCTCATTTTAAAGTATCTCAGTGGCACAGTAACTGCTTCTGAAAGCTCCAATATCACTTGGACAATCAGTGCTCAGAGAGAGGAGCTTTATGTTTCCTCCAGTGTTAAAGGACAAGAGCTACCTGCCTAGCTGGTGAATGTGATTAATTGTCACTTGTCTGTAGTAGAGGAGTTATGGTCTGCTGGCTTTTCATACTGGCTTGTCTGCCTTGCCTCTCCTACAAGGCTATGAAAATGAGAGGAGGAGAGGCTACTGCAGAATTTATCATTATGATGCTGATATAAAGTGAAATGCGTGAGTATAAATATGCTTCTTTTTAAACTGATCTGCATCTACAAATAAGCAGATTACAATAAAGTATGGGGTAAATGTCTTAATTTTTTCACGCATAAGAGTAGTCATGAAAAGCAGATCAGTTTCCAAAACTACTGTTTTGCCAAATGCAATATTTATATATATATACCAGTGTAGATCCAGCACTGACATTGTAACAGCAATTGAACAAAATCTTTGTCTTTTAATACCAGTGTTTATTATTTGTACTCTCAATAGCTGCTCAAGACATGACTTGTTGATGGGTATTCATCAGGTTTTGTTTAAAAATATTATGTTCTATATTGTCCCTGAGATGTGGGCTGTGAAATTTGCTTCTTAAAAACAGTAGGGCTGCCATGTTACTAAAAATCTTTTTTTTTGATGTTTTGTATAAAACTCATGTAAAAATCATTCTGTTTAAAAGAAGCTAGTGATTTGCTATTTGAAAATAAGACAACAACCGTTCAAAAGACTCTTGCCTCATCATCACATGCAGTTCTTCCTTTTGCTGCTTATTTAAGTACAGAAAAGTCCCAATTTTTATACTTACTAAGTACCTGGATTATACCCCTAAAAGTCAAAGTCTAAACCTATATCCAGAAAACGATGACAGTTATCATCCTCTTTTTATTTGGGGGTGGGGGGAAGATACGATTGTAGCAAGGCATTTTAACACCAGAGCTGGGATCCCCATCAGGTCTCACCTACTCCAAACATTTCTCCTGCTCTTCATTTTTATATTATTATTATTTTCTTCTGTGTGTCCTTCTTAGCAGTGTCTCCTGACAGCCCAGCTGGTACTATTCATAATTGGCAGGCCATTCAGGGCTTAGGCAAAAATAGCTATAAATTAAAACACGACTGACTGACCACTCTCTCCCCTGCCTTGCACCTTCTGTAGACACTTCCATGTGTGGAAATTGAGTGGGGAATTAGAATAATTTTGATCTAGTAAGGTTTTATACATGCTCTGCAGGGTCATAAGAGGCTACAGAACATATATGACTGGCATTGTATAGACTCAAAACCAATAATTCACATTACAGCTTGTGTGATAGTTCTTCCTTTGGTTCATACTTTCCACTTTTGCTGTATTTCATTCATTTTAACTTTTTATTATCATATTAATACATCAATCTTATTTTTATTCTGTCCTAAAGGGATCCTATCATGAAAGTTTAAGATTAGGTATGTTATTACTGTATCTGCTGAACATTAGGAGCCTGATTATTCTAGATAGTGATATCTGGAGAGTATACTGACAATTTTAGATAGTGATTTACCTAGATAGTGAATTGGAATTAAAAGAGGGATGGGCAGTGTCAAGCTATTACAATCTCTATAACAACAGCTCTGGAAACCTCAGCAATGATTTAGTAAGAAAAAATGCTCTAAAAGCATTTACAAAAATAAAATATCCAAAGTTTACAATGGTCCCTATCTGTAACAAGGTTGATTAATAAAATAGTTTTGAACTGCTAACTATTAAGGTGAAAGACTAATAATTAGTCTGTGTAATTAACAGCCAACTTTCAGAACTGACCTTATAGCCATTTTTTTTTTTGTTTTGGAAAGGGTGATGGGCAGAGGGAGAAGGCTGTCTGAGCAATCCACCTATCCTCACTACACAGACACATACTGTGAGGTGTGAACCCCACAACTGGTACTGCACCTCAGGCGGAAAGAGAATCTGACATGTACGTGTGTTCATATTAAATGAATGGAAGGCATGCTGAGGTTTGAACTGATCTAAATCGTCTCCTCCTCTGAAAAATTAAATGTTCTGGGAAAGATTTGGCATGATTTTGGCCTGGTTTTTTTGATTGTGTGGTGTTTAGATTCTGTACCCAGTTAAAGGGGTGATTCTTTTTGTAGCAGAATGTTTACAAAGAAGTCTGTGCCTAATGTTCTGGTCTAGCATCTGTAAACGGCATTGAAGATCTCAGAAGTCTACATTTTGATAGCACGTTAACACTAATGGCTTTCCTTAGAGCAGGCATCCAATTTTTCTTAAATCCTTTTAGGTCCAGTTGACCCAGAAGAAGGAATTCTTAGCAGGAATTTTCCATTTCTCCTGAATCCAACCATTGTACAAACAAAGTGAACAACTCAGCCCTTATGAGTAAATTACTGTGTTTGGTATTTCAAACTTCAGCAACTGCAAGATGCGCAGCCAGATTTGTTTTAATTCTCCCCTCTCCCAGGAACTGTTGCTCAGAGAAGAGTTTCTGGGATGAGTTCTGACCAGCTGTTATCAGAGCTTTCTGTCTTTACATATACTCTTTTTCATGCAAGCTTGCTGGTGTATTTGTTACATTCACAGGGTAATTGCTGTTCTGTACAGCATGGAGACCTTGATCTGCCACTGAAGAACTGCAATTCCTGTGTGGAAGGTAAAAGCTGTTTTTTGAAGGCTGCCGTAAGGCTCCTATTCTTGCAGAAGGTAATGGATTTCAAAGCCGCAAGGAAAGCTGTCAGTAGGATCAGACTGAATATTGCCCTTAGGCACATAGATATCTTTTTATTTTTTTTTTTTTTATTCTTCTTCCTTCTCAATTAATTAATACAGACTAAAGCTTCTCAAACCTTGGAACATTAGGTATATCCTCGAAGTGGATTTGCTGGCAGAGGCTGGTGTGTAGCATCAAAGATGCATAATAGATTTATTACTGCAAGGACCAGCCTCAAAGAACCGAGAGTCATATCACAATGAAGAAGTCGATGGTGATTTTTGATTTGTTGTGCAATCTATTTTGAATGCCCATCAGAGCTCTGCTGGAACTGATTTTGCTGAGCAGAGCTTAATGCACAGTTGACTGGCTTATCACAAAGTTGAAGGTATATATTCTATGTGTGGGTTATTTTGAATTGAAAGCCCATTTCAGCATGTTAGCTTCACACGCTTTTTTTTGTTGCATGAGTGGACAGAATTTGAAAATGTGTGCTTTCTAGATGAGAGAAGGGAGTTTAGGTGTGTTTGGCAGTAATTCTTTTAGTTCTCTGAAGAGTATACTGAGTATGATAGCGGGTTTGGACTGAAAAAAAAGGTGAAGAAAGAACTGGTGTTTTGCAGTGTTCTGCTGTAAAGCTGATGGCTGACTTGTTTGGGGACTTCGCTTCCTTTCACTGTTTCTGATGCTGGGGAAACAGACTTAGGCTCTCTCTAGGTTTGTGCTTGGTGTGCAAGCACACAGCAACACATCGACAAGCACCTGTAATCCAAGTACTTGACAGGGTAAACCAGAAAGAAAGGAAACCATACAACCTGAAAAGCTGTCACAGAGGGATGTGAGAAAATGGATGGGCTAGAGGAATTGGAAGGAAATTACTCCTATGTGTTTCTCATTACCACATTCTTCTGCCTTTTCTATTATTTTAATGGCTTGCTCTTGGTCCTGGTGAGGCTGCTGTCTCGGCTCCTGTGCTTTCGCTTTTCCTGCATGCTAAGGTGTTTGCTGAAACAAGGTTAAGAGCATGAGAGATGGGAAAAATATGTGCATATTGTTTGGTAGTGGGTGAATACCTGACTCCAGGTGAGCCACCTTCAAGACTCATCAGACTGCTGCCACACCTGAACTAATTAGCCTCAGAGAGAGATTTTTATTTATTGTGAGGAAGCCCCCAGAAGTTGCCCTAAGAAGAGTTTAAATCATTCAGGTAACCCCTTTCTCATGCCCATTTTCTGTTAATATTATTGTCATCTTCATTCTCTATTTAATACTGAGAGCAAACTGATCATTGTAGCTTTTGTAAAGGGTTGGTGTGATCAGTTTTTCTAGGTTAAAATATTTATGATGTTTTTACCACAGCCTTAGAAACAGGAAAAGCCAGCCTAAAGACAGAAGAGAGATACTAATTAGAGAATGATAGAAATACAAATTTGAAGCAGCCACAGTAAGGCAGAGAGTTTAAACAAAAGAGCGTCCCTTTTATTACAACCTAAGATTTAATTATATATCCTAAGTCTTCTATTATATCCTAAGTTTAATTGCATAAAGCAGGACATGGGAAAAACTAAGCCTTCACAGCCATATCTGGTGGAAACTCCAGAATGAGATTACCATTAGAGGAGAAAGTAGGAAGCAAGCCCTTGTGAGGAGAACGTTAGAGAGATCAGGATGTTCTAACTTGGCCAAGGGAAGATGAGGAGAACCTGGAGCTCCTGCCACCAAGGAATGGGACAGAATAAGCTGGTGAGTGCAGGCTAGAGCTCAATGTCCCCTGAAGTAGCCGAGAGAAAAGCTGACAGTGAAGTATGATCTGGTGATGTGTTATGTTGTTTTATCATTTTAAAAGATGTTTAACTCTGCATTGGTGGTGTATATTTGTAACTGGATGGCTCAACAGTCTCCCAGATTGTTTGCCAGCCACCATGAATGGTGTTTTACTAAGTGTATATTCAAAGAAATGTTCTTTTGGGGGGACTGGTAGCATTGGATGCTGATCTTATAGGAGGAATAGTTTTGACAGATTATGAAAAGATGAAGAATACAACTCCTCATAACTTTTCTGCATTCTTAAGTTATATCAAGATTTCTCTATAATGTGGGGAGATTCTCTCCTGCACATGACTCCCGCCTGCAAGCTGTCTCCTGCAAACAGCATCTTTTTGCTTTGTTTCATTTCTTCCACCCTCCCCAAACTGGCCACTGAGGAGGGACATGTCCTCCCTCAGCTAGTGTACAGGGACGTGATCAGTTCTGTTAGCTGTTTTTAATTCCAGGGACTTCACCTGTTGTCCTAGTTTATTTTTCTTTGTCTCCAAATGCACTAGAATGCCGAGCTAGTCTAAATTGAGTCTATTCTTGTGAGTGTGCTAGTTAAGCCTGAATATTGAAAGCATCCCTTTTTCCTCTCAGCTTAGCACGAGCGATAAAAAGAAAAAAAATAGCCTAGATAATCATGAGGGCTTAAGCCCCCACAGTTATCAATTGAAAGTAGATTCCTCAAAGTTTCAAGAGTTAGTGTGGTTCTTCTGGGTTTGTGTGTGTATGGTTTCTGAGACAGAGTTGTGTTTTAATTACAAGTAAGTGGATTTTTTACTTATGAAGAAAAATGCACTTATCTAACCATCCTTGGTTTAGATTTCAAATTCTTGCTTCAAATCATGGGAATCCTAAAGAATTTATTAATAAAATCATGAAGTATTTTGCATAACATTATTTTCTAATTGCATTCTTTCAAAGCCTTGAGTGTTTTATCTGAAGTTACATATCCCATAATAACATGGATGCTAGTGGTCACTCTGTATTAAATATTTAATCTATCTCCAGAATATCTTAATATTTCAATGTTTAATATTACCTACCTAAATTATCTCTATAAGTAAAAAAAATTGTACTCTATTTTCCCTTTTCTATGGTTGAAGACACATAAGGACAACTAGACTTATCTCTTCAAACCTCTTTTTAAAAGCATCAGGGCCCAAGGTCATGCAAGAAGGATATGTTGGCGTCAGAAGCTAAACTGCACTTTTAGGCTTAGCAGATTACACTTCTCCTCTTCTTCAGGCTTAGATAGTGGACCTCCTTTTCCCTCAGCTGAAGTTCCTCCAAAGGGATTTGGAAAACTGTATACCACAAGCAAAGCTTCCTGTGGATGCCTTCCCTCTGCTGCTTCCAAAGAAGCTTTGGTAAAGGCTGTTTGTGGTCCCTGTGAAAGAGGTTTAGAGCAAGCTGCTGCTATGTCCTCTTAGGCTGGGTGACACAAAGCAAAGTCTGGCTGACACCTTTGAAAAACAAGAGTGTTTCCACACCTCTGCCTCCTTTGCATAATCTGTGATATCTGAATTAAGTTTCATGACATATTAACACTTTGAAGCTGAGTTAATATACTGTGTTCTATAATACATTACGTATGATTTGCACATCAATTGTGCTGGAGCATTAGCAGCCACAGACTTGAAAATGCCTCTCTCAGAGACAGAAATCCTAAATAATACTGAAACCAAATTCTGTTGGCATAATTCTATTATTTTGCATTCCTTGTCCCATTACAACATCTCTTACTTGCAAAACCTTGAACTTATGTTCAAGCCATCTAGCTTCCTCTTTTCTCCTCCATGTACTTGTCACAAAGTATCCATTCTGCTCTTTCACATCACAAATATCCCCACGGTGCTGCATGGTAATTTTAGTTTGTAACATCAGAAGTGTGAGGCTTATGTTAGCTTTGCTGAGCCTGGGCGCTACGATGTGAAAAAGCGTTAATGATGAGCATTAAAGTTTATAATAACAATATGCTAGAAAGAAGAGGAAGAAATAAAGAAAACAAACCCCACTGTAGTTTTTTTCTTCTTGTATAGTCATACTTCATGCTTCCAAATAGAGCTAAGATATAGCTTGTTTTATCAGAAATTGTCTTGTAAACTATATGTCGGTCTGACACTGGATACAGTATATATATAGGAAAATATGCAGTCAGGGGTTTGTTGATCTTAATATAACTCATCTTAAGCCTTATTACTTTGTTTCAAAATTAGACTCTTAGAACATATTAATTATGGACATATCCCTAGACAAAATGGCTGGCTGTCCATGGGGGATTTCTGCCCTTAACTCTGATAAGTGTTAATAGGAGCTATCCATGTAAATCCTAGGGGACCAAAAAGAGAAATAATTCTCTGCTAGCTATATTTTATTTTTTTTTTAGGATATAGAACAATACTGAAGTGTTCTGGGAGTGAACTGGTAGAGTG